AATCCTTTCCTTGATCTAGTAAAAGCCTGATTCAACTGGAAATGAAATTATCAGGATTTGTTTTACTGACTTGAAGTCGACCCTGCACAGAGCCGTGCAGCCCTAACAAAAACTTTGGAGAGAAGCCGTTTTCTGAACAGCTACAGAACATCCTGAATACCAACGATGAGAGCTTCCCTCAACCAACACACAAGAAACCCCTCCACGCTGCTGTCCTCCTCCTGAGGCTGGTCAGTTGTGCTTTCGTTCCAGCAAACCAGCAAAATCCAGCTTGCCGGGTAACAGCACATCCTGTCCTTGGAACCTGGAATAGAGATCTTCCAGACTCATGTCGTGAGCCAACAAAAGGCCATCAGAAGAATTAACTTTCCATCTGAACAAGAATTGGAACAGAAGTCTAAAACAACAATGTAAAAAGATAAATTTATTTTTTAATTTATATATTTTACTTGGAATAAATCATTTTGTGCATTTCTTTAACATATTTTTCCATTCCCCACAGGAAAGTCACACTCATTCCAAACTTACTGACTCTGGTAAATAACTAGCTATACTCATCAGGACTTACAGGAGAGCAGATTAGCATTAAACCTGACAAAAAAAAAAAAAAAAAAAAAAAAAAGTTTTATATAGAAGAAGCCAAGGAAAAGCTACTAGGTGTACCTCTCTGTCACATTACTGCTATAGGAGCCTGCTAAAATTGGATACTGCAGAAACAGAAGTCAGTCCTCCCTCAGTCTAGCCAGACAAAACTTGGGAAGAGGGAAGTATTTGCACTAAGAGTTGGATCTGATGAATGGGAAGATTAAGGACTGGATCCAATAAAGGACTTAGGTGCCTAAAGCAGGATTTAAGTGCAACTGAGGTGCTGAATTTCACAAATGCAAYACAGCTGCTCTTTTTGTCTCCGCAGGTGTACTGCAGACAAGCAGCCCACATCACCAAGTACCTCCTTGCTTTGAGGAGAAACTCATCTTCTGTGAGGTTTCTTCACACCTGCATATCTTGTCCAAGCACTGAGATGCACTAACATGAAAGGTAACGAGTGGAAATTCAGCCCTCGGTATCGTATCAGATGGGGCTCAGTGTATCTGAAGAAAAAAGAGGCAAGAGGGAAGCAACTTCATGGAGAGAGAGGAGACAGCAGCAGGAAGTCACAAAGGCAATATAGAGATTTGGGGGGAAAGCAGATGGGTCAAGAAGCAATAGTGGGTGRGGGAGAAGATGGAAGAGGCAGAAGAAATGGTCTGGAGACAGTCAGATTGCCTCAGCAGTGCCAGAAACAGGTAAAGTGCTGAAGAGAGAATAAGAGGAGCAGCAGGCTGGGGGGTGTAGAAGCTGGYAGGAGGGCTTTGAAGCCTGGCAGGAGGAAGGTTGGTAAGGACAGCTCTCGATGCCAAAGACTCTGCTCCTCTAGATACAGAAACGCCCTGGCCACAACAACTTCAGGGCTATTTCCCAATTAAACTGGAACAGGATCCAGAAATTAGGTGTTCTTCTGGCATAAACTTGAAGAATTCCTGGAGAATGCCTAATAAACACGGACAGGCTCCCTCCAGATCCTATCTCGGTCATTTTACAGCAAGTGATGGTATCTCACCTAGGAAGCCTCAGTCTAGGAGGCTCATCCGGCACTTAACTTTCAGAGTGCTCAAACTCATTTCTCACCTCCCACAGAARTACCCCTGTACTATATTCCATAGGCTATATAGTATTTGGGGGAGTAACAGAGGTTGTTCAGCTCAGAGAAGGCTGGGCTGCTCCATCTTAATTTTTATAGTTCTTTTACTAGGTCTTTAAGGCTTCCTACTTGGCTTGTAGAGTTTCTTGGACAACCACTTTCAAAGTTCCACATTCCTACCCCTATGGCAGCAAATCTGCTCTGTGAGGTTCCTACCTGTCTCCCTCAACCTATAGCTTTTGTCCTGCTAAACACTAACTCAAATCTGAAATTACATGGGCAAAACCGTCCTTCCCCCAGAGTGTTTGTTTGCTTATTTTAATCTAGATGACAGCTCGGGCAGCACTGCACTGAAGTGGCACAACTGAGACRGCAGTGACATCTAGGCTGGGATGTCACTCTGCTGAGTCACAGATTTTGAATATGTCAAGTTTATCTCGGGGTTTTTGAATTCATTCTGGCACTGAGAGGTTAAGCGTGGTGCAGCACCTAAGTCTTTCACTGGCTCTAGTTGTGTCATGCCAAAAAAAAAGGGCATGGGAAATCATAAAGAAAAGTTGTATAAATACATTGTGAAATGTGTCTCTTGTGGGATTATGGCTTGATCATAAATAAAAATAACACTGACTATACAGCCTGCAGTCTGTGTTTATACAGTACATGGTACAATAAGCCCTGATCTTGTCTGAGGTTTCTAATTGCTGCTTTCATACATATAACAAATCATAGTATCATGTTTATGACAACAGCAAGTCAACAATAAGGACCATAAAAGTAGCTCAACCTACACTTTGGTTAAACCCTGTTTCTTTCATGGTTATGTCATATCCCAGTGCACATTATTCCCTGTCTATTTTGCCTCAAGTTCAAAATGTCAGACAYTCCTTTTTAACTTTATTTACAATGCACAGCAAAAGCAGGCTCTGAATTTTAACTATCAAGCTGCTTTCCAGGCCTACTGAAATTCAAATTCTGTATAATATGAAAGATCCATCATTTTACATTTTCATTCTGATCGCTCAATTCTACCAATTACTTGTCAAATCAGAACACACACACAAAAATCCCCCCAAATGGCCTAAATTACACCACTGTAGAGAAAAATCAGACCATGTAGAGACAAAAAAAAATATCCAAAATGAAAACGTTGTGAAAAAAAGCCCAAAATGGGTAAGATCCTCTTTGACCACAGTTCTGTACTTCAAAGTGTCTAGTCTCTTTTATTCACAGGAATAAGTTAACAAGTACCTTCTGCAAGAAGAAACTTGAATTTTGGCCTGTAACAGGAGGAAAAGGAGTCAACTCCCCAGGAGGGAGTTTTACAAACATGGGGCTCATCTAGTGGCGCAGGTTCTGGCACTATTTCCAGGAGGTCTGCAGGACGGACAYCATACATAGAGCTTGCACCAACAGTTGGGTATGCAGTGATGTTGATACTGGAATAAAAGAGAGAAGAAGCTGGAAACACACAGAAAATACTATCTTTATTAAATAGCAACCAGAAATGTGAGTATCGCATGTTAATTAATGATTAATGGTACAGGAAGGAGATGCATGCTTGAAATATTTTTAAACTGGTATAACAAGTTTTTACTGTGCAGAGGAGGGAAGTTCTCCATAACACGGAGTAACAGGCTGTGCACTTGGAACCGAACACCATAAACTTCCCCACCTTCAGGACAGAATGTGTCAACACACAGCCCCTTTCCCTGAATAAAGTGAGCTGATAATGTGAAGAACGAGGAAAGAAGGAAAACACTAATGATCAAAAGGAGAAAAACTCTTTCAGACACACCTGTGTCGGAGAAAAATGTTGTCAAGAGCACATATTTTTTTATGTGACACTAAACCTGGTGTCACATGGTGCTAAGGAGACATCAAGAAATACAGAAAATGATACTGTGGAAATGATAAAGGACTGAAACTGCAACGATCTTGCCCCAGGTGACTTCCCTCTCAGCAAGGAAAGCTTTAGCTCAGGCAAGGTGAGTTAACATATACTTACAAATACGCTGTAAGGACAATACTTTTATCTTATGTCTCACACTGATGAATATCACAGCACTTTGCACCTGCTTATTAATGTTCCCGCACAGGAAATTAGCAAAGTACATGCCTGACTTTAAATATATTCTTCAATTAAACGTGGGCTTCCTGAGTGAGGATGCTTCCCTTAACCAGGGTCTTCCTGCTGTATGTTGTAGGCATCACTCCCACTTCACTCCTCCACTGAAGGAGGCACTTTCTTCTCCTGTACTGTTGCTCAATGTATGGTATATGGGATAGTAATAGGTCAAGTGAGACAYGTAGGAGCCTGGTGGCTGGAGATGCACGTTCCCTCAGGATGTGACTTGTCTCCATGTGAGACCTGCCCTCACTGGAGTGTCTTGATTGTGGGAGTCCCAACAGGCAGGTTAGATGAGACACCAATTTTACAGTAACTTAAGTTACCCTACATCTCCCAGATCTCTCCTTGGACACCCAAGCACTTGCTGACCCCGACTCCCAACGCTCCAGGTAACRTGTCACAGACTAGGGACAGTCTCACGGCTCCCCAGCCCCTGCCGACCACCTCCCCATCCCGCTCCTCTGCATTTCGCACCACGCGGGGCCATGTCTTGCTGAAACGCCTCCTTCTCCCACACCTGGAGGCACTTCCAGGGCCAGGGCCATTTCTGCCACCACAGCCTGGCAGGGCGGATAAAATACCGTGAATAAAACAGATAAGCGCCAGGGAGAAGGACAACCGAAAGACAACGTGGTTAGTATGGAGGCAACATTAATGCTCGTTGTGGGTGAGGGCGGCAGCTCCAAGCACACCCGGGGATGACACCTGGGGAAGGCGAGGGCCTGTGGCCCCTCTGCCCCATCCACGTCCCCCCMCAACGTCTCCTCCAGGCTCGTTTCCAGCCGGGGATGGCGGCGGCTCTGCCCCTCGCACCCCGCACAGCAGCGTCCCCCGCAGCGCCTCGAGGCGGCGGCGCCGCTTTCCCGCCGCGGCGGCCGCCATGGCGGAGACGCCGCGCTCCGCGGGGGGACACGG